AGTGGGGCCTGCGGGCAGCCTGCAGCTACACCATGGGTGACGTGGAACCAGTGGCTAAGCTCGGCATCAGCAAGCACTGCTTTGGGCCCAGTGTAGACTTGCATGGCAAACTCCAGGGCGATTGGTGGGTAGTCCAGTGCTTGTGCCACCGTTTGCAATCTCTGAAGATCGATGGTGTCATAGAAGGTGCTCATGTCCAAAAGGACAGTGATGCCGTGCTGCGCTAATGTTTTGTTGCTTTCCTGTCGAAGCAAACGCTCTAGAGCCACGTGGAGAGCAGTGGCTCCTGGTCGAGCTCGATCATAGTCCATAGATGGAGGCAGGTTGAGTTGCCAGGTGTCGAGCATGCTCTTGCGGAAGCGGCACCATGTGCGGTAGAGGACGCTGGTCAGGGTGATTGGTCGTTCAACCTTCTCATTTTTTGCGAGCATCACCAGGCTCATCTGGAGTTGGGTTGGCAGGGTGGCTGTTTTCTCCATGTCCTGCAGCAGTTGGAGCAAACTGGGCAGGGCTTGAGGTGGAGTGTTCCGCAGGAGCTGCGCGCTGATGGCATCCGGTCCACATGCTCTGTCAGGTGGCTGCTTTAGGACCCTTGCCAAATGGCCTATCGTCAGCGGTGGCAGTTGGGCAGCTTGCTTCTGGGCGCTGTCCTGCAAGGATTCCCGAGCCAGAGCTTGGTTGTCAGCTGTGGGTTGCCAGTGTTGATGCCAGTCATGAAGTCTGTGCCTCATTCGATCGGCCATGGGGACATTGCGGTAGGGTCTTTGCCATGCTAGCTCACTGGCCTTGAGGTTCCTGAAAAGACCTCGAAGTCCTTTGGCTTCTCCTTGTCTGATCCAGGCTGCGTACTGAAGTTGCCCTTCAGTCCTGGATTGCTCAAGTGCTTGGGTGAGCTGATGCTGGATGCTGTGCTGCATGAGCTCCAGTGTGCGTGGATCCCTGTGGTGGTCCCAATGTTGTGTCATGTCCAGGAATTGGGCCCATGCTGGTTCACCGATCCAATGCTTTGGGGCGGACTCGGTGGCCTTCAGGAAACCTCGGATGGTTCCATGGGACGGGTGTGCCTGATGCTGGATGAGATTCAGGCGTGCCTGGAGCTGCTCCCAGAAGGCTGGTTTGCCTTTCTTCCAGATGGGGCCGGCTTTGGGCAAGGTGAGAGGTTTGTATTCCGCCTGGAGGTTCGAGGCTCGTCCTTGCGGTGCCCATGGATGCTGTTGCAGTAAGTATTGTTCAGTGATGGAAACCCAATCCGCAAGGTTTTTGGCCGACTGGTTGGGCGTAGTGTCATAGAGCAAGACTTCTTCGACCTGAGTGACATAGGTGTTCCATGGTCGAAAGCCTGGATTGGGCCGGTCAGGAAGTGCCGGAAAGGATCTCAGCTGGTTGTAGTTCCTGAAGTTGTCTGGCAATTGAAGAGCATAGGTGACCAAGCAATGCGGCCTCCATGGAACTGCCCAATCTGTGGTCATGGAAGTGAGCGGAGCCAGCTGGTTGTGGATCAAAGCATAGTCCAGCACATTGCCATTGAGAAGTGAGGCATCAGGGGCCAGGATCTGCCAGTGGAATTTGGATCCCAGAACAGTGCCCTGAAACTGACTTGGATGCCCATTCCAGTCCCCGATAAGGATGTACTGACGGTTGGAGGCTTCGACCAATGCCAGTAGTCTGCCGAGAAGCAGTGAGTTGGTGGGTCCTTGAATCGTCTCATTGGTCTTGAAGTAGACAGCAATGACCAGAATGGACCTGGCTTTTGCTTCCCAAAGGAAGGCTTGGAAACCACAGCCTTCGATGTGGTAATTCTCCAGTTGTGTGATGCCGTGGTGGTTGGAGTGGAGGATGAGGATGCCTCCATGGTTTCCATCGTTGTTGCTGTTCGTGTGGGCTGGTAGGCCAAAGGCATGTTTGCCGCGGACTTCGAAGTACTGGCAGAGTCTCTGCTTGTCCAGGTGTGTCTCCACCATGATGTGGATGTCATTGTCCCAACTCCAAAGCCAGTCCAGTGTGTGCCGGCCAAAGGTGGTGATGTTCGCAACATGGAGCTTCATGGTGTCCTGTGTGTGTCGAGCTTTCTTAGGCGGTGTGCCGTGCTGCGGTGGATCGAAATCCGGTGTCTCAGGGTCAGGCAATGCCCGCTGGATTTGTCTCGGCGTGACAAAAGCCGTGGTTTGGACAGACCAAATCTGTACTATTTGACCAGCAAGTTGTGGTGTCAAGAAAGGTAGTACTGTTGGATGGCCGCCGTCATCAGCAATCCACATCAAGTCCCTGTAGACCAGGATGGCGAAATAGTGGCCACTATCGTGTGTGGGTCCTCTGTGGCAGATGTAGGCAATGGGCATGTATTCAGAACTTGCCCTGGAGAACCCGTCCAGCGAACGAGGTACGCTGAAGGCCCCTTGAGGGTTTAGGGCTCGTTTGTGCTTGGTGAGGACCCCATCATAGGTGACTGCCCGGTTGATGTGTGCAACAAGGACTGTCTTGTCATCCGCAAGGAATTGGCCTAGTCCTTGATTGGCCCAGTTGTTCATGAGTTCTTGCCATGTGATCTCATCAAGGAACTCATCAGGGTAGTCCACGATGAGCGGCAGCTGCACGTGTTCGGTGAGGTATCCTCTCTCTTTGATCTCTGAGTACCTGTATTGCATCACTCTGGACTGTGAGCGGAGCCAGAGTGAGTTGACGAAATGTGCGGCGTCACCCTCCAGGTTCAGGTCGTGGTGCTTCCAAAGGTCTTCAAGTCCTGGAAGGGCTTTGATGTCCACAGGCTCGCTGAGCTCCAGCGAGGTTTGGACGGCATCCTTTATGGTGCCCCAGGGCTCTGAGATTGAACTCTGCCAAGTAGGCACACATCCAGCAAAATGCTCTCCACGGGGCATTAGCATAGCAGCGGGTGCTGGGGTTGCCAATGATCATGGTCAAGTTCTGGAGGATGAGATCGGTCGTGGAGGCGTATTCATGATGGCTCATGTCCTTGGTTCCACTGTCAGCTGAAGAAAGGTCCTCCAGTGTAGTGGAGTATGTGCCACCAGTCAGACTCACAAAGGGCTGTCCATTGCTGCTGGTGGAGGTAGTGTCAAAATTGTGACCAGTGGTAGTCTCTGGTGCTGTCATGGGAGCTGTGTTGGCAGTGATTGCTGGTCCCCTGCAATCTGAAACCCTGAAAAGGATTGGGTAATGTTGCACCAAGTTGATTTGTCCCCATCAAATTGGTGACTCTTGTGATGTTGTCGTGACTCCGGATGAAAGAGCTCATTGGTTCTCTGGTCCGTTGTCAGTGCAACAGATTGTGCCCCTATTGAGCCTGGGCCAGCGCGGCAAACCGGTGATGGTGGTGTTGCCATGCACTGAGGCCCAATTGCTTGCAAAACGTTGTCAGTTTCTTGAAACTCCCCATGAGAATTTTCAGTCCCTTCACATGACCACAGATCATCGTCTGGTAACGGAAAATTCCGCCCTTGAGTTGCATCTTGAGCAGGAGTGTTACCCGCAATGTCCAGGTGCTAGCGGTCCAGGGCCATCTGTTTTGCGCCGCTTGGTGGGATCCTCAGAGTCAGATCCAGAGCGCTTGAGAAGACCGTGGAGTTGAGTCTTTTGCTCTTCGGTCAGGGCAATCCCTAAGTTGTGCACAAAGGACTCTACTCCATGGGGATTTGTTCTGGCTCAGCCAGTGGTCCCGTCAGGTCTGCCGGTGTGGGCGTTTGGTTCACCGCTGTCATGTAGTCCTGGGACAACTGTTGCAAGGCTTTTTGCCCTTCTGCCAGCTTCCCCTGGAGGGTCTGCATGCAAGCAAGGAGGTGTATTGTGCCTTCACCCCGTCGATCTTGTCCTGGAGCTGGTTCTTCCTGATGGACAAGGTTTTAAGCTCTGTGACCTGCCCTTTGAGTTTCGTGGCGATATCTCTTTCGGTGCAGGGCTCTGGAGCTGTGAGTTTGGTGACGATCTGCTGGACCTGGGTTGGGAGTGCAGCCATGTGTGTTTTGAGGATGTCAGTCAACTCTGGTTCTTCCGGCTTGGCAGGACCAATGCCTAGTGCTTGTAGGCGTGTTTGTGTGTCCTCTGGTAGGGCGGACCAACTTGTGGCCAAGAGTGCGGCGGCTTCTTGTTGTACCTTGGTCTTCTTCAGTGGCTTGACTTTCCCAAGTCCTGGCGGTGTCTCTGGCCAGGGGGTTCTCGACTTGTTGGTAGGTCGTCCAAAACCTTTACCCTTTCCAGTGCCGCCTGTAGATGTAGGCCACCAGGTTCCGCATCGTCGACACTTGGTGTTGGGTTTGACTTTGTCCGTCCAGATCCAGTTGTAGCAGTCCTGTCTTGAGCAGGTCATGTAGGCACGACCCCATTGTGGCGTCATAATCCCGGAGCTGGGGCAACCGTTTGGCTCCCAGGTAGTCAGGCAAATGGGCAAACTGGGTGGCACCGATCAAGATCAGGCCAGAGGTTCCCTCAAGGAAATAGCCCAGTCACCAGGTGAGCCACCAAGAGATAGCCAAGCGAGCTCTGCCAGGCACCGTAGAGGATTGCCGGGGTGTGCTCGAGGAAGACGAGTATTGCGAGCAAAGAGTGTGTTGTACTTGGACTTGTCGATGGGCCGTGCAGGTTCAGGTACTGCAGGATATGCTCGCTTGGGGGTGCCGCACTAACCGGTCTTTATGGGGTGCCGGTTTGAGCACTTGCGGCTTGAGCCATGTATGTATGTATGGTATGGTATGGTATGGTATGGTATGGTATGGTATGGTATGTATGTATGTATGTATGTATGTAACATATTCCTTGGAGTAAAGGAATCACATGTCAGCAAAGCAACCATGTCAAAGCTGGAATGTACAGAGTTTGGGCGTTTCTCACAAACCATTGCAAGGTGCGTTGAAATCCAAAGGATCGTTCGAATCCATTAAGAAAATCGGCAAATTTCATAAATTACATAAATTTACTGTTTTACCCCGCTTCCTTGAAACTAGTAACTCCGTCACCGGCACACACACCACAAGCCACAGCGCACACGCCTGCCCCAGCGATCCCCAGTATTTCACAATCTCACTGGAATCGAAGCCCTGGCCAGAGAGAGACCGGAAGAAACCAGCGACTCGGACGAGACATCCGGGTTCTCTTTTGAAAACAATCACCGGACTCTACGAGTAGTAGAGTCTCTCCGAGTTCAGTCTCTTCGTTTCCACCACGAGTTCCCCTCTGCACTCTTCCCATCTCTTCCCAACTCTTTCATCTACCACCAAATGGTTCAAATGCTTCGAAGTTCCTTCTCTCCAACCTCTTCTCTCTTGAACCACCCGAATTCAAAGCGAGATCCCAGAACCACCTTGGTCCGGTTCAAGAGGACCACATCGGTGGCCAAATCGGTGAAGTACACCTGGCGTTGGAAAAGGCAGGGACCAGGGAGGGCACCGAAACATGTGGGGTGTATTTCTGTGTGTGTGTGTCACGTCGTACAAGATGTACAAGTAGTCCATCAATTGGGGGGGTTCAAGCCACATACTCTTGGTGTGCTTGAGAAAGGTTGAACGTGTTCATCAACTTGGGTGGCTTCAGTCACAAGCATACAAAAGGTGTTTTTCACCACAAAGGCTGACAGACTAAAACGCATTGGATTGAAAGAACCGCCAGTAGGGTTAGATGCTTGAGTCTTTCTATCGAAGCAAGTACCTTGCGCATAGACCACCTGCCAGCTACCAAGGTTCAGTGTATCTGGGCATGAAGAATTAGATTTTGTGAGATAGATAGTACAAGGCACAATTGCAGAAGCCCATGAACTGCAGAAACCATACATTTCCTACTTCTCCCATCACTTCTCCCAGCCAAGGAAAAAGAGAGAGAGAGAGAGACAGACACCTATTGGCTGGAGGTTAAGATTAAGGGTCTCTTGTTTTGGACTAGGAGAGTGACACCCTCATGTTGAGGCTGCTGTTTCGGGCTCTTGGCGGCGATCGTTGCACCTTCGACTTCACAGAATCCTTGGAGTAGAGGAGACATGCCCCCCAAGGAGCGGCCCTCCCAAACTGGGATGTTTTAAGCAACCACAACTTATGGATTCGGTATTTAACACTATTGATTTGCGGGGTCTTGGCCCCTGTTTTGGACACATGAAACTGTTCCCTGTTTGTTCCTTGCAGGCATCATGATTGCTTCAGGTGCTTTTTCTAGATGTACCTATTCATCCGGGTCCTGGCTTTTCCACCCATTGCAAGCAGCTCTTCATTCATTGTCCCCAGCAGCCACCCCCAAACGAAAGGGGCGGACCGCAACACAGTACATGAGGATCAACAGCAAGACACCTGGCGGAATGCCGCAGAGCGCACTACGGTCGAGGGTCCATCAGAGACATTGCTAGGCTGTGCAACAAGGTATGGGTCACCAAGAAGACCTGTAACAATGCTGGTGACTTCAAAAATAAATGTGCACACATAAAGCCTTCTGGTGATGAGTAAACAAAGTCTACCGCCATAAGTCTTGCCAGCTTGGCCTGTCCAAAAGAAGGAGTTCATGGAGGCCGAAATCCTTGGCACGGAAACAAGTGTGACTCCCAAAAAGAGATTGGCCTCGACCTGAAGGAGAATTGGTTTGTGTTCCAGCAGAATTGTGGTGTGGCGGTGTGCCCCATGGAATTGTGGAGTGCAGTTGGTTGCGAACATGGAGAAGGCTGACTGTTCACAGCTACAATCATGTCTGGCTATGTAGCATAAGACTGAGATGCAGGGGAAGAGAGTAGGCGAACTACTCATGTTTTTGCTGATGTTTTTCAAACTAGGCCAACTTGGCTGCTTGAAGGTGAAGAACTTTTAATCAGAACCAAAAGGAACACAGTTTCTGGCCTTCAAGGAGCTCAAGAAGAATTGTGAGGAAATTCGACCAACCATAGGCAGCAGTACTGCAGCAGAGCACATTCTGGTGGCCAGCAAAATTTGAACTGCGAAGTCTTCTAGGGAGTCCTACTGCCAAAGCGCTGCTTTTCAGTTGCATCCTCAAATGGGTGACTTGGTGACTTGCTTCAACTTGCTTCAGTTCCTCCCTGCAGTCAGGCTCTGTCCCATGTTTCCTTTGGGAGCCGACCCATCCGTTCGAACATTGAGTGGACCGGGTGACCGTCTCGACCGTTGGAAAACGTTGTAACCTTGATCTTTGTCTTCAGCCCACTTGCATGTTTACCATATACACCAACACTGCTGTGATCGCTGCATCGGTGCCATTTCCTTCTATCAAGATCTGTCAACAGTCTCTCTGAAGTCTGGGACTTTGCAAAAAGCCACCAGCTGTGGAGCAGTAGTGTGTCATGTCTGCGGCGTTTGCTCAACACGGAGAAGCTCCATCTGCATCGTTTGGTCGCACCGTCCGATCATCCACCGGAAGGACCTCGTCAGGTGATTTCTTAAGGCCAGGGGGAGGAATCTCTATTGTGTGTTTTGATTAAGCAGGCAGTAGAAATTCACCCCGTATAGATTAAGTATGCTTGAATGTTCATCTATTGAAAATGAATGATGTCTTATGATGTCTTGCCTTCTCAAGCGACCCACCTTCATACAGATGATGACATCGCCCAGGCGCAGGTACACCATGGACTTCAGCGCAGGGATCACCCGAATGAGTCGCACCAGCCGTAGCACCCGACCCAAGCGCAGCATCCGCAGCCTAAAGCCAGATACGTCCGGTGACCGCCAGGTATGCAGGAGAAGTCTAAGGAAGAAAATGCCGAGGCTTTGACAGTCAGTGTGTGTGTGAGAGAGAGAGAGAGAAACATTGTGAAACCGTGTAGTCAGGGCAGTCAGGGCGGTGAGAATTGAGACTGCAGGGAAGCAGGAATTGACCACGCTTCACAAAAACCAGTGGGTACGTGCCAAAGTGTGAGTTGAAGAAATATTATAGCGATTCATAGCTGTGGCGAGTTTGCGCTGCCCAGTGGATGATGATGGTTAGCAAAGACCTTTCCCCGAAATAGTGATAATCCTTTACCCACTGTTACAGGTTGACCAGCACACACCCTACATGGATGAAGAGATGCTCAGCTAACCCGAGAATCAACAAAACTGCCACTGCCACTGCCCAAAGCATAAGAACCTCAAACCGTTTCAAAGGAGGCTTACATAAATCAGAACAAGCACGCTGCTTGTGGTTCTGCAGCCCAAAATGGCTCTCAAAGTCTCTTCCAGGGCAGCCGTGGGTGGCAGCGGGTTGTTGTGGGAAGGGTTTTTTGAGCCAAGGAGTGCCCACAAACTAGGGATAGTGGTTGGACCATCCCTAACCAGGGGGGGAATTCTACCAAGTGTGTTTTCTGGTCCCCCTAACCTTTGTTTCATTCCACTCTTTGGAAACCCAACTCAACGTCCAAGGCACACGCCAGCGAAGCCTAGCAGGTGCTGTTGCATCTCGGAGGAGGTCCCAACAAAAAGCGCTTGCGAGAACTCGTCGATCATGCTGGAGAGCACCTGCCCCGTGAGACTAGTGTTGTGAAGCAGGTCGGTGAAGCAGTGTGTAGTGCAGCCTAGAGGTCTCCCATAGAGTCCTCAATGCTTGATACAACTGCAACACCTGTTAGGTCACTTGTCGTGCAACCTTGAGTGGTTCGGGGTTGTCTTGGCATTGATTGAGCTTGATCTCTCTTACATCTTCCCATCTGCCTTCACATGTCGTGCGTCCTCTTGCATTTTCCACATAATGTTCCTAGCCCACATGTTGAAAGCTTCAGCGATGCACAACCCGCAAGGTCTCAACCGCCATGTATGAAGACAGAAGGGGGCAGTGGCTACAAGGTTTTCTTTGGTGCAGCAAAGGTCCAGGCCGAAGCTTTGAACAGTTCTTTTAAGCTAAGGCTGACATACACCCATAGACTCAATGTAGTGAGTCCAGCTAGAAGCTCGCCAATGGACATCAAAGCATGCTTGAAGCAAGTGTTCTTCTTCAAATATCCTGCAAAACCAGCAACTGTCCAAAAAAGGATCCTCCTCTAAACCCAAATGAAGACCATTCCGAAATCCCAAAATTCAGCCCTTACATGACCCCTCCTCGCTTCTTCGGGGGACTCGGTGGCCATGGACATCCCTTCCGTCCGGACGCTTGAAACGCCACGTTTGGGGTGTTGGGTCGGGTCAATCCGGCGCACCACCACCGTGTCGAAGACATTCCAGGCCCAACCATCCTGAGAATGAGATTCCATGGACGGCAACGGAGATCCGAAAAATGTCGGGAGGACGAGAACAAAGGAAGATTACGCGCTCGCACGTGCAGGTTCTGGAGTCGTTTTTGTTTTTCTTTTGAGGAACCATGGAGGAGAAAACACAGAGAGCGAGAGAGAGAGAGAGAGATAAATATAAATATAGACAAATGTGAAGGTCTGAAGAGAACATTTTGGGTGATGCTGTTGAACTATCATAGACTCCAACAAGCACTCCTTATTTTAGTTTCGCATAATGCGAGGATTTGTAATCTTCAAAAGTGTCTTGGGAAAGGTCAGGAACATTCCACTGAATTTTCAGGGGCGCAAGTTCGGCCAGGCATCTCCCCATAAGAACCTCCTCTGATAGGCAATGATGCGCAGAAGGAGCTCCAGCGCGAAGAGCACGCAGAAGCTCACGTTCTCAGAAGCACGGCGGATTTCCAGCAGGCCGTCCCACCCACCTTCAGACCTACGGTCCACCCAAATGCCCGGGTGAGCAATAGGTCGAAAGACCGCCCTTGTAAACAGGCGGAGCCTCAACACATTGGTTGCCGACTGGGGGAAATTGATGACTGGCTATTGACAACCTCCCTCCAACCAATACAATGCTTTGATTTAAGACAGCCACATCTGTTTGCAGAATGACAGTACTGCTCTTCACAACGCCAGCATAGAATCTAACAGAACACCTCAGGACAAGAGAGTGTGGAACAAAATGGTTTCTGCAGTTAGGAAGGTCCAAAAGGCGAGTGTATGTATATATGTATATATCTATATATGTAATCTATATAAATCCCCAAACAGTTCACTGTTGGGGTTCTATCTTAGAAGAAAAGAGCTGGCCACACTGACTGGCCGCGCCCCTGAGCTCTGTGGCCGCGCCAGCAGGCGGCACACAAACTAGTCGCTCACAAGGACAAGAACGGGCACGCCAGCACCACCGATGATAGGAGGATATGCCCGTCGAAGAACGCACACTAGCTTCTACTAGCTTCTAAAACTCAATAATAGCTTCTACTAGCGAACCTTGTTACTACTAGTAAGGCACTTGTTACTATCAGCGTGGCACTTGTTCCTAGTAGCGTGGCACTTGTTCCTAGTAGTGTCCTTTGCTTCGGTTGAACTCGGGATGTGACTTTCAAACACTCCAGAGGCGACAGAGGCGCCTCCTCCTTATTGGTTCTGTGGAAGTTGCCCAGCTCTTTTTGGAAGGGATTCCATGTCAAAGTTCTACTTCCGGAATGTGAAGGTCCTGAAGTCGATGAGTCTATATATGACTTTATTAACCAATATTACTTCATTCCTGAAGGGCTCGACAGCTTCATCTCTGGCTTCTATGTGCTGCTTGCCTCGCCCAGGCTTACAGCAATCTCTTTGGCCACGCCCTTTTGCTACTAGAGCCAGGGAGCCATTGCCAAGGTTCACGGCAATCTCCTTCGCCACAGCTTTACGCAATCTAATTCTACGCCGAAAACGATCAAAACATCGTCCTCGAAGCTGCGTTCCGCACCGAAACCCATAGACCCATAGCACGAGCAGTGTCCTCTGGCGCGCTCCCACTCCATCGGATGGGGTCGGCGGATATATACTGTATGTCTTTTTTCAACTACCTTCCAAGGGTGTGCATCCTCAAGTCCCTAAACCTCCAATTCGACATAAGGAAGAGGAAGTATAGGCTAAAACCCGTTCTCTTACTTACCCGCAGAACAACCTGATGCCAGGAACCCACCTGATGCCAGCGCCCCAGTCCCACACACACTCCATCACCGTGGGTTCGTCCGGGCGGCAATGACAGTGAAGATCTCCTTGGAGCGATGTGGCAATGGATGCATGGCTTGCAAGCAGCAGGAAACGTCCCTAATGTAGACTGCTTGTTCATTTAAGAACAACATATGAAATCATATCATATAAGAGGTTTTTACCATTCAACTTTCCGCCGGGGGGTCTCATCGTTCGATTCGACAGCCATCGTTTGAGCGGTTTCTACTCGACTTTGGCCCCCGAAGACTCGGATGACGGTCATCAATCCGAACGACCAGCTGAGGTGCCATTCCGCCGTTCTTTGAAGATGCGGAGGGTAGCCGGGTAGACGCAGAGATATGTGGAGTATTTTGGCTGCCCCCCCACCCCCCGCAAAGCACACTCTCAGAACAAGCTTGGGCCGCTTGGGGATTTGGGGAGTCTCAAATCCCGTCTCATGGGCAAAGGCCGAAATCAAGAGCACGAAAGTCATGCTTCCTGCGTCACGTGCCGCAAGGAGAAGGGTGGCCCCTTTTTTGAAATGCTACTTCAAGAAGGTCTCATCGGTCTGCCAAAGGGCTTCCTCGACCCCAGAAGCTTTCAGCGCCAAGCAGCTGGTATTTGGCCTCCGTTGCTGGCCATCACATTGGCTTGAACACCAAAGGTCAGCGCATTCCTGGGAGGTTGGAACCACCACCGATGGAGTCACATATTTAAGTCACATAAGCCTCTCCTACACGACTTGGAACCTTTCTGCCGGAATTGATGGGCAGGAGGTGTGCGTGGGGGGACAACAAGCCTATCACCCTTCTCCTCCTTGTTGGTCCATCACGGTCCATCTTGGGGTCGTTGATCTAAAGGACTTAAGGTTCCATCCGTGAATTGTTCCGTTTTGGCCCTCAAATGAGGTCCAAATCTGAGCCCAGGGGCGCCAGCAGCGCAGCAACAAGGACCTGGGCGAAGACTTGCGCCGGCTGAATGCGACAGTCATGGTGGAAATGCTCAAGTGCAACTTGCGCCTCCCCAGATGCACGTTAGTGAGAGACCCTTTCAGCGTCTTGTACTGGATGGTAACATTGCATGTACAAACCAAACAAGACGGCAGGGTATGCCTCATCGTGGGTATGTACATATGCCGTGTCTGAATGTGAGACTGTGCGGAGTCCTGTGTGACAAAGCATGGGGACAACCGGGTAGTTTGGTGATGAGAATGTCCTGGCTTGGTGGGAGCAAGAAGCTACTAGGGGCTCCTGGCATCGCTACTAGGAGCAAGGACGCTACTAGGGGCTCCTGGCCATACTACTAGTAACAAGAAGCTATTAGAACAAGAACAAAAGTTATTTTGGTGCTTATCACCACTCCAAAACGACGACCGCTGTTGAAGTTGGAGTCACCTGAACGAACAGCATCCCAGTGGCCGGGCTCGCGAAAGAGATCCAAACGGAAGAATCCCTCCCAACGCAGCGTTCAATTTGCAACCTGTGCTGACCCAACTTTCCAGATATCCGACAGTCAGGGACTCGTAGCTTTTTCCAGTTTGGCAGCTTTCCATAGTGAATGACCAAACGCAATTGAAGCTACTCCTGATCCTGACCTTTCTTTTCCAAATGCCCACCACTCTGCCCACCCAGTAGTGCGCACCCAGTTGAAGTAGTCATGCTCCACGATCATCCACGCCTTGGACAAGCACACCGTGCTCAGTGGTTACAATCGTGGTACTGACAGTAGAGTATCTTATTTCCTCTCAAATTCTGATTAAAACTAAATTGAATTCTAATTCTTGGTTCTAATAGCTTCTTGTTACTAGTAGTAAGGCCAGGAGCCCCTAGTAGCTTCTTGTTCCTAGTAGCGATGCCAGGAGCCCCTAGTAGCATCCTTGCTCCTTTCCCCCCCCAAAAGACTAGACACAAAACCACGGGTCTTTGGGAGTTCAAGTGGAGGTCGCCACCTGGCCCCTCTTGTTCCTCGCACATCGCCGTGCTGTCGTGCTGCCCAGCCCTGTCGGCCAATTTCTTTGGAGCGCGCCTGGCGATCGTCGATGAACATGGGCGAAGCAAGCGTCGAAACGTTGCGATATCTATGGTATTCCGGGTCTTCCGGTAAGTCCTTCATCAAGAATCCTCCAAACCAATCACCCGAAATCTCAGGAGCTCAAAAGCCCAAGAGAATGATATTCAGTTGTGGGCTCAATCTCTACAGGTTCAAAACCTTTCTTCCCCTCAAATGCCGCCTGAACTGTGATTCAACCGACTAAACGGGACCTCCAAACCCAGTTATTCGTCCAAGCCTTTCCAGGCTCTTGCAGCACTTAGAGGAGAAGCGCTGCACTGAAGGATGCGCAAGGTACATGACCACAGTGCAACCGGCCCAAACGGCCACAAGAATGGAAGCCCGCCTTTTGGAATCCAAACGACCAGCCCGCGGTGACAAACCCCAGACGGATGGCCCGCGGCGAGCACACCACTTCACCGCACTCTGCACCTTGTCCAGGACTGCTGCGCCCGCGGCGAGGTGACCAGTGCTCTTGCGGACCTCGGTTCTCTAGCCGGTCCACCCATCGACTGACGAAGACGCGGTGTCAGGTTGGATCTTAGCCGTGAGTCGCTTGCCACAAAGAATGCTTGAGCACATCAAGGAGAAGGTCAAAAACGCTTCTTGATTCCTGCCACTGCTGGTCAGTTCCGGCCCAAACAACACAAAATCGAATGGTGTTCAGTGTCCTTAGCTGGGGAATCTTTGAGTGTAGCGAAAAAGCGATGGACTGCATTTTGAGGAGATCGAGAAAATACGCCTCTATACTCTTCGTTACTTCTGTTAAGGATTTGGGGGTGATCGGGACCAAAATCAATGTTGTTTTTAGAAGACTTGGAATCAGTGATCAGCAGAATTCAGGTCAACTCTACTAGGTTACTCAAATAGCGGCAATCCCAATCAGCATGTGCTTCACTGGTGACCGACCTCCGATCCAGCGCTGGGAAGCAAAAACCCTTGCAACCAAAAACACAAGCTGAAGCTCCTGGTGTATCAACTCCAACTGGGTCTCCCAGCATTCCGCGAATGCTCCGTCCTCCATTTCCTGGCACGGTCAGTAGGATATACATATATACTGTATATATATATATATACATACGTGTGTGTGTACATGTGTGGAAAAAAGGAGTGAATCAAAGGAAAGCTGGAAAGGCATGGGTCTGCACGTTTTGAGAGAGCCCCTTTGCAAACGGCTTGGAAACTGGCCTATCTACCTTGGTGTTTCAGCCAAGAGGGACTGAAAGGAAAACTTGAATGGTAGAGTTGGTCGATCACGATGGTCCATCGTGCTCGCTCTTTGGTGGAAGAGGTCGGATCACCGGCTTCTGGGTCTGAGCATTTTGGTCTGCCATGCCCCTAGGAGCAGATGGAAGTGCGCCGCTTGCAGCTGGGTCATCTCCAGCAAGGCCAGACTCCAAGAGACCAAGGACATGCAGGGAGACCAAGGTGTAAGAAACAAGACTCGGATGTCGGATTGCCTGTTTCAAGGAGGGACCTGTTGCAAGGAGAGGACGCGCAGCAGGGAAATCCCTTGCAACCTCTGTGAAAGGCTGGGACCTTCGACGACGGAATCGACCAAAACAACACCGGCCAGGACATCGAACCCTTTCGTCTCTTTTGACAAGCTCTTGGGAGTGCCTGACTCGTCTCAAAGCCCACCTTGTTAAAGAACAATTATAGATATATAGATATAGATATAGATATATATATATATATATTCGCGTACAGTCTCTATATATCCTTTATTGCAAGTTCATTGCTAGAAGGTAAGTTGAGAAGGCTCCTTCGTGGCAAAGCAACATAGGTGCTTTGAGCCCGCACGACAAAACCACCAACCGCCACAGGTCTGGCCTTGTACAACTGGAGCAATGAAATGAGGTCAAGAAACAGGAAAGACGACATGACAGAGCAAACAGGGGCCAACTCACCACTTGTATAAGATCAATTTGGAGGAACTGTCTTGTTCTATCTGAACTTCCGTGTCCTAATCATATCGATTCATAGACCTTTGACATGCAAACTGCTTCGTATCATGCCTCCCCGTCACCAGAGAGTCGCCTTCCTGCTTCCACTCAGCCACTCCGCCACTCCGCCACACGGCACCTGGATTTGTCCCTGGTGTCCATCTTGCGCAGCCGCTGCACTGCCCAGGGCGCGTCCGAGGGAAACCTCTCGGCCTGGGACATGGACATCGCATTGTCCTCCTGCGGTGCGGGACATGGACATGCTTGGGGTGGGCCAGCTGGAAAAACATGTCTGGGGCACAGAAGAAAAAGAAAAGACTTTATAAAATGGTCATTGACTCATGCACAAGCGTTCAAAAAAAAAAATATTGCAATAGAATTCTCAATTAAAGTTAACTTAAAATCCCATATGGGGCAATCCAAAGTCACAAATTCTGGCTTTTGGCACGCTTTACATGCTGCCTACTCGAGCACATACTGACAAAAGAACGAATGTACTTAAACAATTAAGAACAAACAGATTGCATAGATTGGGTCTATCCTATTTACCAGTAACAGTGGATGATGGTTCCTAAAGGCCTTTCTCTAACATAGTGATTTGCTTGTTTACCAACTGCTACAGGTATTAGGACAGACCCAATACATACACAGTCAAAGGATTATGTCTATGAAAGTCCAAAAGAAAGAAAGTACCCGAGTCACCTGCGGACATTTCTTCCATAGTCACAGTCTTGGACTCCTAGTAAACACAAAACATGTGGTGTGTATATATATATATAGAGAGAGAGAGAACTTGTGAAGAAAAGACATGTGCTTGGCTGCAATCATAACCTTCCGTTAAGACTTGCGCAAAGAGTGTTTCGGAACTGGATAAGGGAGGCCATTCCCTTTACAGCTGCAAAAAGCCGTCATTTCTACCTCGCATGGGATTTCGTTATTTAGTCTTAGTTTGTTGTCCCTTCTGAAGAACATTCTATTGAGGCTACAGACTTTGGCCTCTGTAAAACTGTCACCAAACTGCACGTCTCAAAGGAAGGGCACTAAGTGTTCTGGATGCCTCAAGCTGGGTTTTCTTGCTTTTTGGGCCAGCTGAGTTTGGCAACAACAACACGCCCGGCTTCTCCAAGACCCACCTTCTCCTCCTCTTCCCAAGCAGGTTTGGGCCCCTGCGATACCAGTTCCATCGGCCGTCTGTTGTTCCCCGAAGCCGGTCCCCAATCCGTTCCGGATATGCGCATCCAATCGAAGTCTTTGGGAAAACGGGCCTATTTAGATCATCACATGACAGGCTCTGTAAGACATGGGAGAACCCAACATCTGGGTATAGGAGGTAACGGTATATATATATATATAGTCTCTGAGTCTCTGTCTCTGTGCTTGAGGAACTTGATCTTGGCCCCACTCCGCGCGTTTGGTGATGCCAACAGAATTACCGGTTTGGCTGGCACCGACGCCACGCCACGCTTGGACCTCAAGTTACCACCGAGCTAAGTCCGTCCCAGACGCGTTGGTCACCGATCCCCGAAGCCCAAACGAGCCAACAGCCGTTCCAAACCTCCCAACGAGGCAACGAGCCAAACAACGTTGTGAGGACACGAAATGACATGCTTTGAAGGCGGAAATGGTTTCGTACGGAAATATGTTCAATGCGTTCAGGAGGAAATGAAAGCTTCTCCACATGAACCCCCCTCCAAGTTCGTTCTTTTTTCCGCTCCCCATCACCGCCAGGGATACTTGCCTCGGGTGCCTCGCTGGGATACGCGGAGCCTTGACTCACCAAGAGGAAGGAGACAGGCCGGTCGGGCTGTTTCAAGGGGTTTTGGAACATCTGAAGGAAAAACGGAAGAGAATTGCGGTTGAATCACGCATGTTCTTGAGGTTTCACATGGTTTCACCCACATGGTCACATGGTGTTTTTTTTCGATTATACGGAGCCATCCTGTCATCTCAAAACACTCCGCCAAGAAACCATCCATCTCCTGGCGCAGAAAAGTTGTTGTCAGAGGCAGGCTTGGCTTGGCTGGACTGTTCGGTTGCCCAAAAACGAGAGAAAATAAACCCCGAGCATCTCCTCCCACATGACCAGGAGGAAAAAAATGATTTATAAAGGGTGTGTGGCATTCCACCCAACATACTTTGCCAGGCCATCTAGAATCCTCAAGGCTCAGCCTCAAAATGCTCCTCCAAGGCCTCTAGTTTTGAAAAGGTCAACAATTTTGTTCAGTTTCTTTGGTTTTTCTTCCCTCATTTAATGTGTATTTCTTTGTTACTCGTCGTTATACTATGTGGCTCCAGACGGGAGGCTTTGTGGGCAAAAACGACACAACCAGGCGTCAGACGAGTCGAAAACACGGAGCCTGTCTTTGTTTTTGACAAAATGTGCACGTCTTGATACATTGAAAAAGATGCTAAGAGAAAGGTGCTAAGAGAAACTGATGTTTCGAAAAAGAATCGCCTGAAGAACTCGATTTTGAACACTGTAAAGCAAGATTGTGAAAATGTGTCGTTCATCTCCCTGGTCAGGGTGTTGTTTCATGGTTTTTGCGGTCGACTAAAAATGGATGTGGTGTTTTTGACATTGCACTCTTAGGTTAGAGGCCATCGAAAACCGGTTGGGGGCCAGCGCTAGTAGGTTGGTGACATGTAATTGCAAAACAGCCAAGGTTGGAGGTAATCGCTCTGAGGGTAGAGGCCATCAAAAACAGGTTGAAGGGCCATCACTACTAGGTGGGTGGCATGAAACTGCAAGACAGCCAAAGTTGGAGGTCAACGCTCTTAGGTTAGAGGCCATCTCAACCAGGTTGAAGGCCCTCGCTACAGGTTTGGAGGCCTACCTGAAGACCTAAACAGCTCCTGGTGAAGGGACCACAGCGACCAATCAACAGTTTATTGATGCAGGTACACGAGACAGCGTCAAGGTTTCCACACACACGCCTCCCACGAGGGAGGCATGTGTGGCCTCCATCCTGCCGGGAAAGGAGGCACCCCCATCCTGCCCGGAAAGGGGGTAATGCGAGCACATGTGCACGCAAAAGGGACAGATGAACATGAAAGAGACGAGACGGACAAAAGAGTGTATGTCGTAAGGGAAACCAAGTGAAGAGGGACACCCAATGAACCAAACCTCATTACAAACCTGGGGCACCTGAACCTAGTTTGGTGTAGAGCATACGTGCTTGTATGCGCACAAGCTAAGGTCCGCGCAAAAGTGCGCGCAAGAGAAGAAATGGATGAGGATCGCGAAACACGAAGACAGAAGGACATGAAAGAAAAGAACGAAAAGAAGTCTGCGGGCGCCAATGAAAACGGAACCAAAATGAAAGGGGACAAACGGATGAAAAGCCGAACCTCATTAAACACCTGTTGTAAATGCTTGGTTTGCGTGTGAGGCACGCTGCGCACGAAGAAGAAGGAGGGGAAGGAAAAGAAGGAAGGAAAGAGCAAAGAAAATGAAAAGAAGGGACAGAGAGAGAGAGAGAGA